CCGCGACACGTGCCAGCCAACACGCACAGCTGCATCATCCACAGCCCGCAGGATCAGCCCCCGCACCTCCACGCGCCCGTGTTCATCCCCAGCGTCTACGACGGGCGGGACTTCGCCCACACGCTCCCGGGGCGCCAGTACGTGTGCCGCGACCACCAGAGGCGCCCGCCCCAGGGGCACGGGCAGCAGGACGGGCACCATGAGTGCCAGGCACAGTCTCCCAAGGCGTATCATCAGGGACCGCATCAGCCGTACCAGGGAGAATACCAGGCGCGTCCAATGCAGCACAGGGGGTACCAAGAACAGCGCGCAGCATACCAGGGGCAGCAGGAAGCATACCAGCGGCAGCACCAGGCGCAGTACCAAGCACAGCCGGACGCGCAGCAACAGCAGGCACACGTGGACGACAGCCCTTCGCGTCAGAGGCCCCGCCTTCCCCGGGACGGACCAGCTGCTCAACAGACGTACTTGGATGCGTACGGACTGGAGGGCACGGGCGGCGCGCCCCTGGAAGACCCCGCTGCCCAGTATCCCGCTGAAGGTCTGTGGTTTATGTAGATACGGATTAGGAACACCGAAGAAGAGGGAGATGGGAGAGAGAGAGAGAGAGAGAGAGAGAGAAAGAGAAAAGAGAGAAAGAGAGAGAGAGAGGAAAGGGGGGTGGGGTAGTAGGGAGAGAGATTAGCAATACCTCTGTCAGATGTATTCGCAGAAAACTTGAATAACTTTCATCATTTGAGAGGCTTCTCACCAACAGTCGCACTTTGTCCGCAGGGGGCCCAGTTACCGTGCTAACGGAGGAGGACCAGACGTCCTCCTTCCTGGAGACCCTGCAGCGCCCTCCGGAGGCCTTCGCGGACCCGACGTCCTTCGACCACCCAGTCTACTTCCTTCCGCATCATCCTGAGGGCCACGGTCCTCCCCTTCCTTCCCCTGCGCTCCCCCCGAGGGACGGGCGGCATGGCCTCCCGCCCTTGCCCCTCGATGCCAGCCCCTCTCGCCCCTTGCCCTACTCGCACCACACACGCCGGCGCCCTTTGACCAGGATCGCCGCCCTCCTCCGGCCGAAGTCCTAGCCAGAGCCGCCCTCCGCCACCCAGCCCAGGCCACCGCCACCCCACGCCGCCCACCCAGGTCCCAGCACCCACCGCCCAGCCCAGGCCACCGCCACTCCACGCCGCCCAGTCCCCGAGATTCTCGCCGCCCATCCCCGCCCACGCCAAAGACGCCCACCTCGAGGCGGCCGTCCCCGAGTGCGAAGAGCAGGCGCGCCCAGCAGCCGCCCGACAGCCCGAGCCAGGCGCCGCGCCACCGCCCGCCGCGGGACCGAGCCGCCCGCCGCCCAGCCCCAAGCGCGCGCCCAGCCCTGCGCGTGGCCCCAGCCCGACGGTCGAGCGGCGGCGGCTGCCCCTCGCGTCCAGCCAGCAGCTGTTCCGCTCCAAGGTGGCCTTCAAGCGGGGTCCCTCGCCCCTCCGCCGCCCCCCGCCCCGCCTCCTTCGGCGCAGTTCGCGAGACGCCCGCGCTTCCCCGACGACTTCCTGTGGCAGCGAGGGGTGGGCAGGACGCCGGGGCAGGAGGGGACGGACGCCGTCGAGGGGGGACCAAACACGACCAACAGAACCAGATGAAAGCAAACTCAGTCGCTCTTGTATATTGTATTTGAAGTATGAATGTCCAACATGGATTCTTATCCATAAAACCAAAAAACGAAAAAAAAAATGGAATATTGCCTTCACCTTTACAGAACACATTAAACAAACAATAAGATAAGAAAAAAATGACACTGGATATCCTCCTCTTTTACAATCCTTAAAAAAAGAAATGTATGGGGATAATACTTCATGCTTTTTTACACTGTCCTTTCATTCTGACCAACTGAACAGCTCGTTAGCTTGTTTCACGGAAGGAATAGTGGAATAAGTTAGATACCCCTTTAATTCCCATTTTCTCTCATAAAAAGTATTTTCGGGGTAACAATGGTAAACTTAACTCGGACGGAGAGCCTGCAGATAATTTGATATACTGTACAATACTTGGTATTATACATGGAATTTATGATAAAACGTATGGTAATGTTTTAAACAGTCAATAGGTTATCCTAAATGAAAGAAAATGTCACGAGTGTCACTTATCAAACTGTTAGTATTAACTAAAATGATTCTATGAAGATTCAAGTCCCTTTGCCGAAAGTGGCATTGAAACGAATCTAAAAGAATCGTTTTTCATTCTTTTTCATCTGCAGCGGCGGTTACGTTGAGCAGATTTCGATATGATTACTACCATTAAAGAAAACAAATTATCTCTATCATAAGCAAATCATACATTAATCAAAACGCTGCATTTACACCATAATATGAATATTGGGAAAACAGAAAAACAAAAAATGGGAAGGAAATAGAATCACATGTTTATGACAGACTGATGTATCACTTCTACTTCCTCAACAACATTAATGATAATGATAATAATATTACTAGTGATAATAATAGCGATAATGATAATATTAGCATAAATGCATTAATGATAATAGTAGCAAAATTAAAGTAATATATATTGTTATCATTATTACTATTACTATTATTATTATCATTTTCATTTTCATTATCATCATTATAATTATTATCATTTTCATTATCATGATTATTATCATTGTTAACATAATTTTTGTTATTATCATCATTACTATTATCATTATTATTATCATCACTATTACTATCATCATTAATATGATTATTGTTATCAATATCATTATCATTATCATCATTCTTTTATCATTATCATTATCACTATTATTATCATCATAATCATTATTAAAACCATTATTACTACCATTACTATTATTATCATTATTATCATTAATATTATTATCATTTTTATCATCATTATTATCATTCTTACTATTACTATTATTATTAATATTATTATCATTATCATCACCATCGTCATCAATATCATTACCACTACTATTGTCACCATAAAAATTATCGTAGGAATACTAAAAACAATGAGAATAATAACAATTTTATTAATGACAATAATCATGATAGTAATAAAATTATATAACGATAATACACTAGTAATAATGATAATTGCCATGATGAATGATGAAATAGTAATAACATAATGATAATAATGATAATAATAATAATAATAAAATAACATAATGATAATAACGATAATAATAAATAATGAATAGATAATAATAATACTAATAGAAATAACATCATAATACTAATTTAATAACAGACGTAATGATAATAACAATAATGTTAATGATGATCATGATTATTACAATCATAATGATAACAATACAGTTGTGGTAATAATATTGACAATCATGATAATGATAATATCACTAATAATGATGACAATAATAATAATGATAGTAAAAACAATCCTACTACTACTACTACACTCTGATAATGATAATGATAATGATAATAATAATAATAATAATAATGACAATAATAATGCTATTAACAGCTGTGTCAACATTGATGATGGTGATGATGATAATAATGAAAGTAATGATGATAACGACAATAGTAATAACAACAATAATAATAATAAACTAATGAAAGTAGTAGTACAGTCCTGCTAGTTATGATCATGACAATGATGATAATACTACTAATAATGAAAATAATGTTGATAATGATAATAAAGAAAGACAATGACAACAATAGTAAAATTAATAAAGATAATGATAATGATCGTGAAAATTATGATAGTTTTGATAATATCAATTTTAATAGTAATGATAATTATGATAATAATAATAATAATAACAATGAAAAATAATATATTGCTGGTGATGATGAAAATAATTAAAATGATTATAATAATGATAGGAATAATAAAAATTAATTAGTAAAAATAGTAGATGCTAATGATGATATCAATAATGATAATCATAACAAAAATAATGATGATAATAACAACAATGTTACTGATAATAGTAATAAAAATGAAAATAAATTATAGATGATAACTGTAATAATATCGATAATAAGGATAATGATGAGAAGGATGTGATTATGATGATAATATTGATAATGATAATAATAATTGTGATGATCAAAATAATAATGATGATAATAATCATAATATAATGATAGTGATATTGGTAATAATGATAATAATAATAATAATAGTAATATTAATGAATATAATTATAATAGTAGAAGTATTAATGATGCTGATAATAATAATTATTATTATCATCATTATCATGATAATAATGATAATAACGATAATAATAATATATTATAGATAATGGTGATGATAAAGATGATAATGATGATAAAGATGATGATGATGATGATGATTTAATAAGGATAATAATACATAATGAAATGACAATGATAATCATAGCAATAAGGATAATGATAAAAAAAAATTAAAAATAATAAATGATGATAATAAAGATGATGATGCGATGATTATGAAGATGATGATAATGAAAAAATAATGATGATAAAAATTATAACAAGAATAAAAATGATAATAACAATAAAGATTGTATATAATTGATAGAGATAATAAAAGTAAGGATAATAACAATGATGATGATGATGATGATAAATAATGATAAAATGTGATGATAATAAATGAATAATACTAAAAATAATATAATATAATAATAATAAATAGATAATTATTAACACTAAACTTGTCTCTTCTATTTTCTTTTTTCTTAAATTTTGTTTTCCTAAACATATATCTATATATATATATATATATATATATATATATATATATATATATATATCCGACTTTTCAAAAATACACACACATTTTGGCCCAAAATCTGTTTGTTCATCGCATTCCTACAAAATATCTTTTCTACAAAACAAAGAAACACAAAATATATGCAACATATGTACACACGCACATACACGAACGTACACCACGCGCACGCACGCACGTACACACAACACATACACGAACGTACCACACACGCACGCATGCACGTACACACACACACACACGTACACACA